CTAATATTTAGCTATGGAAAACCATTTCCGTGGCCAAAAATCAGTAGCCACCAGACCTACAACCACAGCACCTCCCGCACGGATTTTGCCATTTAGCCAGTGAATTTGGCCGTAGCTGTTTCCCTGTTTTCTTGTAGTGATGACGCGACACTTTGGCCCGTCAGGTCGTTCATTAATAGAGTCTGTAGTTGTTGGGGCAGTGCTTTGGGTGACCAACGGCGGTGCAACCACGTTCAAATGATAGAACCAAACTAACTGACATGATGCTCTTGCCCGTTAGGAATAAAATCCACAACCGTTGGGGTAGTGCTTCGGGTGACCAAACGACGGTTTGACCGCGTTCGCATAATGGAACTAAATAGACCGACACGACGCTTCAGCCATTTAGGTTTGTCACGAACAAAGTCAAACCATTGTTGGGGTAGTGCTTCAGTCGACCAACGACGGTAGAAAAGGAGAAACCAAAAGTCGCATCCGAACAATCCTCAATTACCTCGGTCATGAGGGGGCGGGAAGGACTAGTGATACCATGAGAACTCCCCTTGCTCGTCCTGGTCGAGAGGGGAGTACTGGTGATACAAGGATACGTATTGAGAGTACGACCTAAGACTGGGCCCATAAACACCTGTAACTAGGTTGAGATCCTTGCTTGAGGCTCGTGGAAGATCAAAGGTCGTGAACATGCCTTGGGCTAAGGCCGGGGGCTGGGCCCAAACCAAATGATCAAACCCTAGATATGCCTTGGGCTAAGACCGATCCTTTGAGTATGATACGACCAGTCGGTCCCTCTCAATTAGCCGGTAGACCGACTTCTCAAGGATTGACTGGACCCACAACGACGTGGAAAGACTCATTTTCCTCCCTAGTGTCTATAAATAGTGGAAGGATTTTATCATTTCGGTACATTTTCTAGATCAATCGACTATTTCGGATCCAGTTACATCTCTACCCCTACGTCTAAAACTCCGACGATCGACAAACGCAGAATCGACTGGGTTAGAAACGATCTGTCGAACACTAATGAGGTTCCCACCCTCATTAATTCCTAACCTTAACCTAATAAAATCAGAAAAAATGTAAAATTTGTAAGATTTTCGACAATAAGACAAACAAGGTTTCCGGAGTTGACAACACAAATAGGTGCTCTAAAGAGTAAATTATTTTTAGATGTTGATACTATAATTTTATCACCATACGTATCTATTAATTACATGCATATAATTATTATCTTAATTCATAGCTAGATGCTAGTGATGTTGGTGGAAACACTGAGCTACTAAAATTTAACAGAAAATGCAGAGGTTTCATCAGTATTTTGGTAGTAAAGCTACTTCTTCAATGAAAAAAATGAAATGAAAAATTATTACGGTTATGCCCTAGGACATAACAACTTTAATATTTTAATGTGGTGGAAGGTAATGTAAAGTGTTGGATCGTGATCTAAGATTATAAGAGGGGTTAATAGTCTTTTTCGCATTTTATAGGTTATTATCGAAATTACTTGTAACCGTACACTTAATGAAACAAAATGATGTTATACGTTTCAATTTAATGGACCAGATGATTGGATAAAAAATTGAATAAGAAATTAAATTGACCAGATATATGGATAGAATATTGAACAAGAAATTAAACTTGATTAGATAACTGGATAGAATGATTGAACAAGAAATTAAACTGATCAGATAACTGAATATAAGATTGAACATAAATTTAATCTCAAGCAACTGACCAGATAACTGGATGAAGTCGGAATCTGCAATAAATTAGTCAATCTCTTTCTTTGACCAGATAACCGGAAGAGGGAATCTTTTATCTATGTTGTTGCTTAATCGATTTTAGATGTTTTAATAAAATAAAAGCGTAAAGTAAAAGCAAAGAGCAACACAAAAGATTTATATTATTTCACCCAAACAAGGGTTAGTTAATCCAGTTCCGATGAACACGGAGATTACCATCCTAAAAGTATGGCAATACCTTTTGTAAGCTTTATGGCTACATCGTTTACGAACCAAGTCTGTTACGGGTCGACTTAAATCTTAGAGTATTAATCAAGAATACTCTTAAGAACCTCTGTAAGCTTTAATGTTACTTCGCTTACGAACCAGTTTTTTACGGGTAGACTCACACCTTAAAGTATTCAATGGCACACTTAAAAACCTATCAAGTCTTTGCGGGTAGAATTGAAACCTTAGAGTATTAAAAGACACTCTTAAGAACCTTTGAATCTTTGAGGTAAATTCGACCTAAGAGTTTTTTTCGAAAATTCTATAAAACCAAAATTTGAACTTTTTGTTCAACTCAAAAAACTAATTTCATACTTTAGACTTTTAAAACAAACCTCTTAATCAAAGTAAAACACACACAAGATATGATTAAAAGAGTGAAATACAAAGCACAAAAGACATCTTACTTGTTTAGATGAACAAGAAGATTAGAAGTAGAAGTTAAGAACTTTGAAACTTTTGAAAGCTAAGTCGACATTTGAGCAACTTTTTGGAGCTTAAGACACAAGGAAGTTTTAGAACACTTGGAGATCTCAAATGAGAAAATAGAAGTTCAAACTTGTGCAAGGTGTATATGATGGACGAAAATGGGAGAATTCCTATATATTTATAGACTTAGTCATTACTTCTCCACCTTTGTATCTTCGATCAACGGATGGTTTATCGAACTCTCACTAAACTCCAAAAGTTGTCTTTGTAGGTAGCTTCACTTTGATGTGTTTTCCTCCTGAATTAATTGAGTTATTGGAGGAGGTTAAATATTCACCGATGAATAGTATCTCGCATTACGGAGTTGCACCAAGGAATAGTGTATTGCAGCATGGAATAGTAAATTACACCAAGGAATAAGATGTTGTACCTTGAATAATATATTAGAGATAATAAAACAATATTCAAGGTGTATAAATAATGCAATTCTTTCAATATTAACTTTGACTTTCCATAAATAATTCTAAGGTTTATTTGTGTCTAATTGAAATTATCTCTAATCTTCATCAATTTCACCTTATGGATTAAGATTATAATTAAAATTAAATTAAATGATTAAAATATAATATTATATCGACAATTTTAATTCTATATAAAGATGTTTCTTTTATCTTAATTTTTCGATTTAAAACAATTGATTCTCATCTTAAAAATAGTCCACCGTTGCAAAAATAGTCAAAGTTATACTAGCAATTCTAGTGACCACCGTTGCATCTGAGTAGGAATTCAGTATTGGTGGACGTGTACTCCACAAGTTTAGAAGCACCTCTAATCCAACAACTATAAAAGCTCTTGTGTGTGAACAGGAATGGATTCGATGTCAAATTCCAGGTATTTTATTTTATTTGTGTTTTCTTTTATTTATGTGTAATTGTGTATTATCATCGTGAAATATTTAAATTGTCAATGTAGATAATGAGATTGTTAATTTAGGGCAAACTTCTGATGCAATATCACTAAATGTGATATCTGCGACGTGTGAATGTGGACCGTCGGATCTCTTGATTAAATAAAAGTCGTCGAATGTGGACCGTTGAATTTTCCGTCGTGCGCGAGTTAGAACAAACCGTCGTGAAAAATAAAAGTCATCGAATGTTAGATGAACGACTAGGATGGAGGACGGTGCATTTATCACATTTAGTGATATAATTTCCCTGTTAATTTAAATTCAATTCTAACGAATTCAATGGAGATAATATCAAATGCAAATTTTGTAGATGAGAACGAGAATCTATAATTTTATGATTGTTGTTAATTTTATCTTTAAATTCCAGGTTTTTATACATACTGGATTGTAGGGTGGTCAGGACCGATTGCCTTGAGACTTTGAGGACAATATATGCTGGATATTATTTGAAAAGTGGAGAGTTATCCAAATGCTTTTGTTTAGTCAAATATGATTACTATTATTTACTCAAATGTATAGCTTAATTCATTGCATCTCATTAAATCAACAAAATAGATTGATTGGCTACAATGAAGTCAAATCTTACATTGAAGAATGCGGATAAGATTATTCACGACCAATTTTTCCTGCCGGCCACGTGTCATTTTTTTTTATAGTTAGAAACGGTTGTTAACTAACTCGTTATATCTCATTGGAGATTCTATTTAACGAATATTAGAGGGAATTAGAATTCAGAAAGATCTTAATTGAGATTTCGTTTGTCTGCATCTGTATCTGCTCCTTTTTTATTTGTATCTGCACCATGTCGGGTTCTTCTTCCGCCTTGAAAAGATGGGTTAGACCAGAGGTCTTCCCAGTCATCGCATGTGTAGGTGTAGCGGTTGGGATATGCGGCATGCAGTTGTTTCGGAACATAACCACCAATCCTGAAGTCAGGTGATTTTCTTCTTCTTTTGCTTCAAATTACTAAGGAATAATTTATTTATTTATTTAATTATTTATCTGGACGACGCGATGTATGAAATCGATCAGAGTGATGAAGCATAAGCGAGCGGCGGGGATATTGGACAACTTTGAGGAAGGAGAGAACTACAAAGAACATAGAATAAGGAAACTTGTTCGAAACCGATCCCCTCAAATCATGCCTTCTATTAATAACTACTTCACTGATCCCACCAAGTAAATTAATTAAGTTCCAACATATAATACTACGCTTCTATGTAATATACTAATATTTGTGTTTTAAGTTATCATCAATTAATTGTATATGTGAATAATTTCATTTAATTATTGCATATATCTATGACCTCTGATCAATCGATCTGTGAAAAAGTCAACTTGTGAAAGAGTTCAAACTCCTTGAAAATGAGAGGCACAAGCTCAAGGAGCAAGATGGTGAAAACTAGCATAAAAAAGGCTTTCATCTCTGTCTCTTGATGAACAGAACTCCTATTAATGATAAAGCATTTCATCTTGTTCAAGAGGATAAACTGAAAATCAATTTTAGGAATAAAACTTGGGGGGAAAAAAGATAATGGATTTTATGCAAACAAGTTAGATGATAAAGAAGAAAAGAAAGCAAAGGATGAAAAGGGTATATTTACATTAGAATTGGTAAAAAATTAGATACCAATTTCTACTGTCATGATATATAAAAATCTGTATACACTTGTCTATATATTGTCATTCATTTTGAAAGCTAGGCAAAACTAGCTTACGATTATTGATTATTCATTGCATAAATCACAGGTAGTATATTAAACTTACAACATTATTGAGACATAAGTACATTAAATTATTCAAACTTTACCTTAACAGATTGATATATGGCATAAGACTTCTAAAAATATACCCAGGTTGTACTAGTGCCTGACCATGAGATTTATAGAGAGGGAGGAATCCATATATAGCCATGTGTCTGCCTGTAACCTGCCTTGGATAGTAACTCGTCTGCCTCAGCCGGACCACGACTACCTGGCTTGTATGAAATTGGGTTTACTTCCCCATCATCAATTCTGTGTAACAATGGCGTAAAAATCTCCCATGCCGCCTAATGAGAAAAAAGAGATTCACACTTGTTTCACAAATCACTATCGTGATTTTGATATAAAATTTCGGTAATTATTTGAAGGAACATATACCTTGAGTTCATCTCTTCGGACAAAGTGCTGTTGGTCTCCCCTTACTCTGCATACATGTTTTGCAAAGGTTTATATAAATCTAAAGTGGGGCTCTGAAGAAATACAATAGAAACATGTTTGGACATTTTCCGATCTTACGTGTCTAGAATTAAACGTTCATATGCCTCAGGAATGATGACATCCTGATATCGTTGGCTGTAAGATAAATCCAGTTCGCTTTGAATAGTAGACATATTTAGTCCTGGTTTCTTCACCTTCAAAATGAAGAAAATATAAGGTCAGTCACACATCCAATATATCATAATTATTTTCAACTATGAGACCAATATATCATATCTTCATAATGAGAAGCCGCACTAGCTTTTAACATTGCTGAATAGCCAAGACAATGCTGCAATGTATTTCGACTAATGTTTTGTCATTTGAAATTGGAAAAATCCCTCACATATCAAATAAAATATATTGATTTGATCTGAATGACAATGAAGTAACAATAAACAAATTCAAAGATAGAATAAGTATGTGCACCCTAAGGTAAAAAACCATCAGAAGTCCTAAGTTTAAAAGTACACTAGATATACTTCCTTAGAAATTGGATACTTACTGTCAGTTTCATATACATGGCTTCTGACGGCTGCAACCTAATGACAAATTCATTTCTGCCTTGTTTCTGACCTGTAACATTGAAAATCACATGATCATTGGTTAGACCTTACCTTTCGGAAATTCACATGTTCAGACTGGAAAAAATGTAATGTTCGTACATTTGAAGATATCACCAGGCACATCTTTGAACTGAACACGTATCTCAGCTTTTTTTGAATTCAATGCCTTTCCAGCCTTTAGTATGAACGGAACACCTGAAAATAAAGCTCTATATTAGTTAAAATTCACTAAATTAGACCTTAACTTTATCAATATTACTAGTCTGATCAGCATCAAATAAAAAAGAGCAGTCAATGGATAATTAAAATAGAAAATAAGATATGAAATTGAAATACATGTAATTTTACTAAAAGGCCAACATAAAATTTACCCATAAGATACAAATGGTACAAATTTTTCTTGGAGCTAAAATATTTCTTATGAATTTAACATTCGACATACCTCTATATAGGAACAGATTTGATATAAAAAATTAATCATGTTACGATTCATGTATTACTCTATTTCGATGTCATGTGAGGACATGCCATGCTAAATTTTACACCATTTTTAATTACTCCATTTAGAAGGATATGTACGTATTAGAATTTTCTATGTTTGAAAAATGTTAAAAAAAATTGTTTTAGAATTTCACCTTCCCATCTTTCATTGTGTATATGCATTACGACAGTAGCAAATGTTGGAGTGTTTGAGTTGTCAGAAACTGTTGGGTCATCTGTATAACCCTGGTATTGCCCCAGAACAACATCTTCATCTTTAATTGGTACAACAGACTGAAGAACCTGAGATTTCAACGATAACATTATATATTTTAGTTAGTAAATAAATCCATGCAGTTAACAAATTAGTCAGTCACGCTAATATGAATAGTTTCTAACGTAGTAATTAACAAACCTTCACTTTCTCATCCCTTATGTGTTCAGGTTTAAGCGACACCGGTTTTTCCATAGCAACCAAACAAAGAACCTAAAAATACAAAATCCAACCTGTTTAATTAAATCCATTTACAGATGTGTTTAGGAATATATGTTTCGTTGTTAAAGAATTTCACCTGTAAGAGATGATTCTGAATAATATCACGTATAATGCTACAAGGAAAAAAAATTATAAATTACGAAGATAAGAAATGGAAAGTGCAGGTTATTTTTACAATGAGCATACCCATATTCATCAAAATAACCACCACGGCCTTCAGTACCAAAATCCTCCCTGAAGACAATCTGTAAATTACAAAATTAAAAAAAAAATAAAGTTATTGAAAAATGAGGTTTTGTTTACTATAGGTATAAATAATTATATAGAATATACTCTACCTGTATGTTAGCAATATTATCACGGTTCCACAGAGGTAAGAAGAAACGGTTTGCAAACCGAAGCACCAACTGTTTACAAATAGAATGTTGAAATAAATATTGGTGGGAAAAAGATTTAGAAAAGTTTGTAAAGATTACTACATAGAGACAGACATAGAAGAAATTACCAAGTTCTGAACCAATTCCTTTCCAAGGTAATGATCAATACGATAAATTTGAGGTTCATCAAAAAGTTCTCCAAGTTGAGCACTGAGTTCCTCTGAAGATTTCAGATCCTTGCCAAATGGTTTCTCAACAACAATCCGAGTCCAACCACCAAGATGTGCTGAAATAAATATTAGCACATTTATAATCAGTTTTTATTAAATTAAAAAAACATTCTCAAAAAATTAAGGAATATAACCTACATTGATTCATGCAGCACGTTCGGATCATTTTGGAGACGGACGGATATACTGAAGGAGGCAACGCCAGATAAAAGAGTCTTCTAGATGTTCCTTCTTGACTATTCTTCGTGGTTTCATGTTTAGAAATCTCATCATTTAATAATAGAAAACCATCCTCATGGTCATAAGAACCACTCACATATTTAATCTGGGTCAAAGATCATATTTAGTTGTATTATGTTATTAATATATAAATGCTGATCGCTTATTAGTTATCACAAGAGAGTAAAAAATGTTTCTCACCAGCTTAAGAAACTTTGAGAGGCTTTCTGATGACTCTGTTGAAACTTCACCAGGACTTAGATAACTGTATGATTGTACACAGTAATTGACAAATCATTTTATTGATAAAGGAAAAAAAATGCAACTGAAGCTTCTGAAAACAAGTTCCTTTGGGAGAAGGACAGTATTGATTACAGATTACAGAAGCTGCAAAATTTAGATGGTAGAGGAATTTATAGATGATATCTTAAATAGAGTCACACTGTTGTGACAAGTGACAAAATAACAAACCTGCTAATACGATCTCTTAGATCCTCATCCGTAATCTTTGATCTAGCATAACCAAATATGTGAACTTCATTGGTTGTCAAGAATCCCTGAACAATCCCATCATTCCGTCAAATAATTTAGAGCAAGCCAACCGAAACAGAAAATATTGAGAACACGTATTGGATTGTACAAGAAGAAAACAAAGGTCAATTTTACTTTTTTGCAATAGTAAACATTTAATTCTATACTCTACAGTGTGTGGAGTTAGAATAACTTCTTGTATTAACATCATAAAAAAAGATGGTCATTTTATGATTTATTGTCTATTTTTTAAAAGATAGATAGTTGTTACATTTGCGAGAGTAAGGATTGAACCCTAGAATCCTCTCTTGTCCACAAACACGTAAAGTCCTTATGAACACTCAAGTAGGTGCGACCAATTACCCATTTCTATGCAGTTGTTGATTATATCTACAGATTAAGATATTTCAAATTAAAGAACTAAGTCCATGACTGCAACAATAAAATCTGGAAAAAAAAGATTGATATTATTAAACCAAAAAATGATTATACCTGCTTGAAGAGATGAAAGAGTGCAGGAAAAGTTTTTTTCTTTGCAAGATCACCAGAAGCACCGAGAACTACAATGGAAAGACATCCGTTGTCAAGAACAGAATCTACGTCTTTGTCAATTCTCAATGGTGCATTCTTTAGTTCCGTTGAGTCTACCAGAGAATCACTTGATGATGACATCTCACTTGATGATGGCATCTCTGCAAATCGATTCTGGAATTAAAAGCCTACAAAATAAAAACAGAAATTGAAAAAAACTTGATATCACAATTGAAAAATGCTAAGGATGGAAAAAATAAAGCATAATAAAAGTCAATAAAAAAAACATAATCTACAGAAAGAGAAAATGCTATTTAAAGCGTCAAACTCAAAAACTTGCTGAGCATTCCGAAAACCCCTAAAAAATAAAAATAAAAATAAAAATAAATCTTACTTATTTTATCTAGTTAATTCCTAAAATATGGGGGGAAGAAATCGTATGATCTACGCAATTCCATCAAAGTGAAATCGAATTCCAAAAAAATCGAAATCCAAACAAATCTAAACTGCAAAAAAAAAACCGATCGAGATCTACGGAATCGAGAAAAACAAAAATGAAAAGAATCGGAGAAAAAAAAGGATAGATGGATTGCATAGAGAAAGAAGATGAGAGAGATCTAGAAACTCGAAAATCGGAATGGATGAAATCTCAGTACCTGCCCGATCTCAGATGAAACACCGAATAAGAGAATGAAGGTGAAAAGTCAGAAGATTTTGAGTATAAGTAGGTGGAGTTATGGGTTGTTATTGTAGAGACACGTTTTTTGACTGTTGGATTTCTTCTCACCAACCACTCAATTCTCCTATTTCTTCACTGGTCAAATAAAATTAAAAAAATTCATTTCTTAAATAAAATATATAGACTTGATTTTGACTTGTGAGTCCGGGTCCGCTAGATCCGGGCGTCCTGACCTGGGTTCAGATTAGTCCGACCAAGACCAGTGTATTATAAATGTTTAAGACAAATATTTCATAATATATTAGGTACTTAGGATTTAAAATTAAATATTTTAATACATGTTTTATAATATATTAGTAACTTAAGAGTTAAATATAGATTTTTATTGATTTTACTAAATTTTTTTTAAACTATTTTTGTATATTTAATTATTTATTGATTTTTTTAGGTTAAAAAAAATCAATTATTGGACCCGGCCCAGACTCGAATTTTTTTATTGGTCCGGGTCCAGACATTTTCCTTCTGGACCTGGCCCAGACCCGGGTTAACTTTATGGGTCCGGGTTCAAGCCAATCAATCTAGACCCGACCCATTTACAACCCTACTTGTCACCCATCCTTATCCATATTCCATATTCGAATATGTTCAAATAATTTCTAAATAAAAAAAATTCGTATTCAAATTAGGATAAATATTCGGAATATCCATAACTTTTATAATTATAAACACACATGTGCACATTGATCTGTTCCGTTGGGTCACAGATCAGACATTTTTGAAATATTCAATTTTAGTTTAGTAATTTCATAGGTATTTTTGTAGGTCGTAGGTATCAGATATAGTTTCAGTAGTAGATATAGTGTATTATTGTCAGTATTTATTGTCAGTGTTTATTCTCCGTATATTTATTTCGTATCATCGTTCTAAATTCATCTTTGACAGGATTCATCGTTATCCGATTTTCGTTTTTTTCTTCTTTTTGCATTCCGCGGTTGGTCATATTGTCGAGGTGATTTCGCCTTTTCATACGGTTTAGTCGTCTTCATCTTCATTCACCGGCCGGTTTGCATTTCCCGATTGTCATCTTCATTCTCCGGTTTGCATTCCACATGAGTTAGTATGTTTTTCGTCATCTTCCATCGTTTTCCATTTTTTAACTTTCTATCGCTTTCTTCTGGCTACCGTGTTGGGTTCCTCAATTTTTAATCAATTTTTAGTATGTTCTTCTTTTCGTGATTTCCGATTATCTTTCATTTCATCTTTTTCTTCAATTTCTTCAAATCTAATCTTCTATTTTATAGAAGGATCTCATATTCGACATGGGAAAGTCAGATTCGTCCGTGTCGCAATTGCACAAATCCCTAACCCTAACCTGAATTCATTTCATCTTTTTCTTCGATTTCTTCATATCTAATCCTCTATTTTATAGAAGGATCTCACATTCGAAATGGGAAAGTTGGGTTTGTCCATGTCGCAATCGATTACAGAAATCCCCGTTTGGAAGCTATCGCCGTTTGCAAGATATCAGCATTTGCTAGCTATTTCTACTATCGCCGTTTGCAAGCTTCATTCGGATCTACTATGATGTGTTTGCAAGCGACGTCCGTTTCGACGAGCTCTAGGTTGATGAATATGGTTGGTTGCTGGTTCGGAACAATGCCAGTTTGTCACGGAGCAGGCAGACTCTCGTGAGAGCACATTTTTGGTGGATGGAGTGGTGGTTACGTCCAGAATATTGGGAGTCATTTCTCGGATTGGTGGTTCCGTCCAGAATTCACTTCTCGGATTGACTTCCAGTCATTCTTTAGTGAAGATATTGGGAGTTAACTGTCGGACTATTGGTAGTTCTTCTTCTGTTCTTCGGTGTAAAGTTGGAAGAACGGGTCAGCGGATGAGGGTAGTAAAGTGGAGTAGTTCATAATTTCGTTGACTGGTTTCAGCGTTACTATGGCATTTATGGGTGAGATTATGTTATTTGCAATGGTGAGATTCAATTTGGTTGAGTTCGTCCACGCCAGCTTTCGTCGAGATTCTGTTATTTACAATGGTGAGATTCAATTTGGTTGAGTTCGTCCACGCCAGCTTTCGTCGAATCTGTTCACAGAAAGGCAGAAGTCAACGACGGCGGTTTCGATGGCAGTATTGATGAATCGAGTACATGGCTGGTTCCGAGCAATACTAGTTTGTCACGGTGGAGGTGGACTGCGATGTAAATTCTCGGGTTCACTTCCGTGAATTCTTTAATGAAGATATTGAGGCAGTCTTCTGTCGGAATATTTGGAATTCTTCTTCTGTTCTCCGGTATAAAATTGGATCGCTATTGTGGGATCTGCTGCAATGATTACTCTGTGACTTATGTGTGGGTTTGTGTCATCAAGAACATTGCAGGAAATAGGATATGATGTAGGATACAATTTGTTAATACATATTATGTATTCTAAGTTAGAGGACAATTTATTATGTTGGGTTAATACATATTAATAGATAATAAAATAGGAATAAATACTGACCAGGATTCTTAATAAAGTAGAGAGAAGAACGTAGCATAAAACTAAACCAAATCAGGAACTAATAGGTTTGATTGAAAGACCTAGATTAAAACGTAGTGTAGAAATTAAATAATTAGTTAGACGATCTCGATAAGAGCCTTGCGTAGAAACTTAAAACCTTCGGATGGGCTTTGATTTTCTCAGGACTGAAGCCAGATACACGGAGACCTTGAATTGTGGTCATTAGTGACAGAGCTATATACACCATTCCAGATCCAAATGCTCGGGTCAGGTCGGTAGTTAGACGATCAAGAGTCATCCCTTGACATTTGTGAACACTAAGAGCCCAAGCTAGTATCAGTGGAATTTGCCGACAAACAACTTTAACTTCATTACCTTCCATAATGTCCCATTTTTCAACTTCCAATGAAACTTCTAGTCCAGAGTCAAACAAAACTGTAGGAACAACACCGTTCGGGTTATTTTCAGATGACAATACCGAACCTATTTTAAATCCAGTAACTACTCCAGTTGCGCCGTTCACAAGTCCGATTGCTTGATGGGTGTTCTTGATCAGCATTACTCTTGCGCCCTCGCAAATTTCCAGTTCATCCGGGGCGATCTGATATTTTAATTATTTTAACTAAGGCATATTACCTTGATCCACCGCATTGAACTTCACTATATCCTTTCCTAAACTTATAAGACGCTCCTGATTAACTCTTCTAACATCATCTGTTCTTGGAAATAGACGGGTTTCATTATCATTTTGGTCACTGCCCCTGTTAACTGATGAGATGCCATGTAGGAATCTATTGAAATTTTTGTTATCACGATCAACCTGTCCTCGCCCGATTCCTTTAAGGAATTCAATAAGTTCCGAGTCAGACTGGCGATAAACATGCGTTAATTCTATCTGAATATCGAATGTAGGTTCCCAACAAGCAGATTCAAAAACGAACTCATTTCGCAGATTGGGAGCATTTATGGGAGGTAGTTGAAAAAAATCGCCACTGACAATCAGTTGTATGCCTCCCCAAAGTATAGGCTTATCCCCATTGTGATTAGAATTTCTAATCGAGCAAAATATGTACTCCAGATTATCAAAAAACTGTCCATCGATTATGCTTATCTCATCAATAACAAGGGTCTTTGCTCGCCTTCAATGCTCGACGACTTTTTTACTTTTTAGAACATAAGATACAAGGTCTGATTTTGATCCTTTCCCTAAACCGACGCCGGCGAACAAATACAAAGTTTGTCCACCCAGAGCACATGCAGCCACGCCAGTAGATGCAGTCACAAAAACGGAGTTCTGTGGATGAATACGACGAAGTGTGGAGACAGCATGTCGAAGAAGGAAACTCTTACCAGTACCAGCAGAACCTGTAATGAAGACCGACTTCCCACTTGCAATCGCGTCGATAACCTCCTCTTGCTGTGAATTAAGAGGGATATCAGAATATTGATTGTCAGAGTGATCAACATCGTCTCTTGACCTTTTCTTCCCGACGGTTTGTTGTGATGCCATTCCGATTGCAAGTGACGATGTGTGCTCCGAACAGTAGAGATTTCTCAGATCTCCGGTATGGTGTAAACCCAATATTAATCTTTTGATAACGGGTCAACAAGATGACATCCGTTTGTCTTTAATCGGTTTTCGATAATCTAGTAATCGATTAAACTAAAGGATAACCGTTTAATAAAGATTATTGATGATCCGGTTTTCGACATTCGGTAAATCTATTAATCGGTTTTCGATTACAGGATAACTGGATAATCGGTTTTCGAATACAGCTTTTGTTTTTAGGGTTTCGATATAGTTTCTATAAAAAGGATACTATTCGGGTGATGAATCGCGAATGAAAGGGGTTTGGGATTCCAAGATTTTCTGGTCGTCGAGCTCCTGTACGTCGTCAGGTCATCCATCTTGTTCAAGATTTGCCGGTAGTTCGGCTACTGTCGTCGAGTTAAAAGGTTTTGGTTGTCGTCCGGTCAATTAGCAGGTCATCATCGTCGGTTTAGATATGCAGGTGATGACAATCGCGATACATGTAGGAAATGAGGTATGGCATTTTGAAGAAATCGGATTTCTATTCTTGTTATATTTTACCACTAAATGAAGATGAACATATTTTCCAGTAGGTGTCGGAGATTGAAGGTGATTGTGTGGAACCATTGAAGGTTTTTTTAAACCTATTACAATGATATATTAGGGTTTATTTAGAGGGATAGAAACAGTATAACATTTGCTTTCTTTCACAGAGTGTTTTTTTCCGTTGAGTGATATTTGTTTTTTCAGTTACTCTCTACTAGAAGATATCTACAGCTATCGTACCTTTCTTAGCTCTGGTACATTGATCGTCGCTGTGGCTTCTACAAGCAAAGTAATAATAACGAGATTCTCTCATTAAAAATGTCTGAAAGACAACATGTCAGTCGCTCCCTATTACCATATCTGTCAGTTAATTACAGATAATAATGAGATTCTCTCATTTAATACAGTCAATCAATGACTTATCTAATTTAATTAGATTTAATTAATATTGTTTTACGTTAATTAATATTTAATTCAAATTGAAAAATGTTTTAATTTGAAAAGGGTAAATTTAATGATGTATTTTAAATTAAAAT